AGGGGTAAGGGACCTCTGAGTATTTGTAGCAAAGACCTCTGAGTATTTTTATCAAGAGAATACCCATCTCGTAGTCTACAAACGGAATGAGACATTTAGGTATACGACATAAGTTGTTTTTATGGAAGGGGTAGATCGGTAATTATACAATAAAACGAGATTCATTTTGATTTTAATGTTCTTATTTTGTCCCTGTTAATGTTATAATATTGTTTTATGTGATTTTAAAAAACGATTTATTTTTTATTTTTTAATAAGTTGTACTTACATATAATTATTTTTAATCTTGAATTTTAAGTAATCTGTACCAATATCCAATAGTTCATGTATAAAAAATGATTTTTAAAAATCTGTGTCAAATGTTTTATAATACAGTATAGATTAGTAAATATATTTTTATTTATTAATTTTCTTTTCATACATATTCATTTTTCACATTTTCAATGTAAGATTTGATTTGATCTGATTATGATATAAATAAATGTGCATATAGCAATACTCAGTTTTATTTTAATAGGTCATGAGGTCATGGATTTAAATGATCCTAGTGAATTTTGTATTCTAAATTGGTTACTATATCAAGAAATCAGTTATTAATATCAATTATCAGATTTTGTTTACTAATTTAACTGGTTGCTAATAATTTTATTGGTACAAGTACCAATACCAATATCATAAACGTATAAAATGCAATATATAAGGTAAACACATAATCGATGGTTAACATGTGAATGACTTTTCCAAACTCTGAAAACAAATTAAACAATAAGTTATAATCAATTAATCTGTAACAAGAAATACAACAGTCGTAGCTATAATAATAGAGTTAGGGTATAATGTAGATGGTAATAGTCTAATTAGTAAGTATATATTTAAATATATAATGTGTGTGTATAGGCCCGTCTCAAAACTAAAAATATGTCTAAAATGAATATTACACAAAATAAAATATAAAAGTTTGTATCATATTAAAAATAGTACATTAAAATGACAAGAATATTTAAAATGACAAAGTGGAAAGAATATCAAATAATTATTTTTTATTGGTAAAATTTAAAATTAATTAGTCGTTTTTAATTTTGAAAGAAATTAGACAGATATTCATTGAGGTGGATTCACGGGTTAGGTTATATAGATTCGGGCCCTAATCACATGTAAATTAGGCCCCAAAATTTTAGGAGTCCTGTTCAGAAAGCAAAATTTAACATGCTAATAGATTACTCTCGGATGTATATATATATATCTACACATATATATATATATATATATATATATAATTTAAAGAGACTTGGTATGGTAACGTCATGGTATTGAAAAATGTATACCATTAGCATATCAACAATCCATAATTGGAGAATCGGTACATTTTTACCAACCAAACACGTTGACTATCAATTTGATTGATATCATTGGTAACATTTTGGATGTTTTTATTTGGTACAAATTTGACACATTTATATCCATATTTACGAATAACATGATTTTTTTTAAATAAAATAAGGGTTTTAATGTACGTTGTTGTATATTTTTGAGAAAACTAGCGTCTTATAGAAGTGTTGATGGATAAATTACGAAAGGTTTTATTTTTTTCAAAAAGAAAACCTAAAATCGACAATGAATTTTATCAATATCTTATAAGAATGTTTAACCATTTATTATTGAACCGTGTTTTAGAAGAACCATTATTTGACTATATCCAAAATTATTTATATGTAACTAATTATTTGGCACATGCAGGGTCCGACCTAGGGGTTGGTATTGTTTCTCTGTCGTAAGCTAAAAAAAATAGATTTGTGAAAGATGTAATCGTATTGTATTAAAAGGTGCAACCGTGTTATATGGTGCCACTTTATGGAAAATTTTATGGGTCCATCCTGGGTACATGGATATGTAAGGGGTTGGTTTTAGTGGGTTGTATGACATACATGACTTATTTGATAAGTCATACAAGAGTGTTTGTTAATGGATTAATGATGCAACGTACATGAGGGTTGAGCTCATTAATTATGTGAATACCCGAAATCAATCACTTCTAAAGTTCATTAATTTAACGAATACCGAACTTTAGACCTAAATCAAATTCACAATGAACTCAATTTTGGATGGAAAATTGTACTCAATATCTGACCATCCATCTTACACAATCAACATATAAATAAGAGTCCTCAAATTTAAACGGGCCTGAGAAAGACGATAGGCCAAACATAAAAGCCCAAACAAAAATGTAAAATATATGCAAAAATACAAAAGTGCCCATAACATGTTCAAATGATGTTTTTAGGCTAAAAAACGGCGTCCTCCTCGTTCGAAGCTTCGAATCGACGTATTATGAGCCTGAAACGGAGTTCTGTAGCAAAAGTTATGTGAGTTTAAGTGTGTCACCCCCTGTTGGCTCGGTCATGGGCCTCCAGAAACAATAAAACCTGGTCCTCCATGCTAAGGCCGCCATCACTTAATCACTCAAACAATGGCTTATTTGCTTAGCTCGTGAGGGTGAGCTTAATCCATTAAGCCAACACTTTTCCAAAATTCACCTCTTTCTCTCAAAACACGTCTACCCTTTCTCTCACTGTGAGTTAATTTCCCCGGCCTCTACTGAACTTCCTCGGCTTCCTTCGTTTCATTATCACTTCCCCCAGTTGATTGCCTTCTCATCTTGAATACCTTCTAGTTGTTGATTTTTCAACAATCAGTAATCAACACTCTTATTTGACAGAAATAATGAGTTCCTAGTCCCATAAATCTTCATCCTCCATCCTCAAATTTGAGAAAGACAAAAAAGAAACGATGTGATTTGGAGATGATGAGCAAATATGGCAGTTGGGGTTTAACGAATCTGGAGCAAGTCCATGAAGAAGCCATTGATACAAAAAGGAACAAAAAAGGAGTTTGGTTTTTTCAAACGTATTTGAAAAAAGGAAATGATGATCTAAAAGGTTCTTCTTATAATTTTTGAAAATTGAATTAAGTGAAACTGAAAATCATTGGTACGAACACGTTGTTCCTCTTGAAACTCCTCTTTATATGTAATTACTTGTGTTTCTTGATCTAGGATAATCCAAAACATCTGTGATGAATTGGAGTCCGGTTCCATCTTTGTTGTAATATTTAGGGTTTTGTTCATCTTTAATTCAGGTAATTTTTGTTGAAATTTGTGATGAAATGGAGTTAGGTTTCATCTTTGTTGTATTTTTAAGGTTTTGTTCATTTCAAATTTTAGAAGTTGTAATCTATGTTTGAAGTTTATTAATAGTTTTGAAATATTTATGTCTTTGTATTAATTCTCGTTAGTGACACCATCTGGTTCACCACGTAGACAAGTGATGTTACAACTAAATTGAGCCAACCACACGAGTTGACACAAAAACATCAACCCCTTCTTTCTTATACTCACTTCATACTTCAAAACTTGCATCTTCTCACCAAAGTGGGATGATGCAAAAATAAGGTAGGGTAGCCCGATTCCATTTGTGGGTAATTAAATAAAGTTGAAGGGTGGAGTGGAAAAAGGAACTTATTTGCAGGGGTTGATTATGCAAATGCAGGTCTAAAAGGAGAGGATCTCCATTATTCCTCTCATTTTTCAATCGGTAGGAGCAAAAGTGGAGGGGGGGGGTTGCGATTCTTGAAGGGGGAAAAGGGTGTGTGAAGGGAATCCATTTTAGGTGTAAGATCAATCTCCTAGTATATTCCTTAATATCCTTGTTGGAGTTTTCATTTGGGGTTGGGTTCCTCAAACTTCAAGATGATTTTAGTTGGGAAAATGATATTTATGGTATGAATTATATTTGCAAATCGATTTGATCTTTGGTTATATTTTAGTATTGATTTCTCATGATGGAATGGGTGAATTTAAGAAAAAGCTCTATGGTTTAGCTTAAATCTTTCGTTTATGGGGGGGAATCTTTAAATCTAAAGATTAGTTGGACTGGAATATTGCAGGATTGGTTCCATGTTGAATTGGTGTGGATTTTGATCCCTAAA